GTGATGATAGGGTGAGTCTGAAAAGGTACAAAAATAAGATTTATTTAAATAATTAATTAAAGTATAAAAATAAAGATATAAAGAGATCATAACACGGTCAGAACCACGGTCAGAGAAATTAAACACAAGCTAGGATCAGAGACATGACATAAATCAAGGAGTGAAGGTAATGATTAGTGTTGTCAGGAAATTGAGTCACAAAGTTAACTATCTGACTAAAAGATTGAGAAATGCAGAAGTTAAAGGCTTTAATGCAAGCAGGGTCAGTGGGGTTATAGCCAAGCCATTCAGTGTGATGAGCATTTAAGTCACCAATAACAACAATATTGGCAGAGGAGTAAAGGAAGAAGACATGGTCCATTTGATCAGAAATTACATCTAAAAGAGTGCAATTTAGGAAGAAAGAGAATGATAAAGAAAAAGATGATAGAGTGAAGAGGTGCTGAGCAGAAAAAAGAAAGGTGATAGAGTGAAGAGGTGCTAAGCGGAAGCATAGTAGAATTTAAATTAGTCTTATTAAGAGCAAGCAAGTCTTGTGAATTTATCAAGAGGTAAAATTCAACTGATGAAAGGTTGCTTTGCAGACCACAAGTGTTTGTAAAAGATATTAAAACAGTTAGTTGGTTTTTTATGTTTTTATATTTTAGGTTACTTTTGGCATAATTTAAGTTTAAAGAGAACTTAACTCTGTCTAACTGTCTAAGTCTTATTAATTAGCCCTAAAGTCAATTTCATAAGTTTTTATCAAAGTTATGTTTGATATGCCCTTGTTTGATTAAAACTTTAATCAATATTGTTAATCAAAATATGAGAGACTTTGAATGTAATTATAACTAATTACAAGACTTCATAGAGTTGTGTGATAAAAAACAAATTGACATTTATTTTTGCTCAAGATTCACCATTTCTGGAGAGACGGTGAATATTGATCAAAAACATGACAAAAACACTAATATTGGTGCTTTTGAATTCTCTCCATTCATATTTTCCTGACCCATTCATTTAATAGTTTTGGGTCTTCTTTTTATGAGAAATGTTTAACTTTTGAACATATTAAAAAATAAAAAATGTTGAATCAAAGATTGAAAAAGTTTTTTAATGCGTAAATAAAATAGACTAAGCATTTTAGCTTGATCAGTTTTGTTTTAGATGCGTTATGCATATATATTTATTTTTTTTGTGTTTTTGCTTTAACTAAGTATTTTTTTTAAATTTTCTCTTTCGTTAAGATTTATTTATTTTAAAAAATTTTTTTTTCAGATAAGTTTAGGTAAGTTTTTGTAGCGCGTTTTTAAATTTTAAAAATATGCTGTGGTCAAATCGTTAAAACATTTTTTTTTTGCGTGGTCATATAAAGACATGAAATCGCACTTCTTCCTGTGAAAGCCTGTGTCATGTACTTTTTTACTATATTTAGATTTTTCATTGATAAGATTCTTTTTTGAAGCAGCAACAAAAGGATTATCAGGGACACCAAAGTGTTTAGTTTTCACTTTTTAACCACCATGCTGTTTCAATTCGTGTTTTCTTTTATAATCATCGTCAAATATGCTATGCTATCTAAGACAGACCAGTTTTGTTCTCTTTCTTTTTTTGTTTTTATATACATTCATTGTATCTTGCAACAAAATAATTATGCACTTTATAAAAGAGAAAATTGAAGAGCTAAGTGCAAAAAGTACTTAAGTCACAAAAATGTTTTGAGAAAATCTACTTTGATCAGAGATTAACACTTTAAAGTAATGATTCAAAATGGTTGATCAAAGTAGATTTTCTCAAAACATTTTTTTTGTGACTTAAGTACTTTTAGCACTAAGCGCTTCAATTATCATAAACATATTTTAGAAACTGGTAACCAACAATATATTATATGTAGCCGACCTACTTTTTACAATCGAAACCAGGTTACGATTAACTTTTAAGACTTAAATCTTAAAAGTTAATCAAAATAGTTTTAAAAATATTGTAAAAGGTTCGAAGTAAATATTTAAAAATATAATTGTAATAATTTAATTAGTCTGCATTGCCGACTAAGGTCACTGAATTTGGTTGTGCTGACTAAGATTTAGTGTTTGGGGGGGCTTTCCATGCACCCCCTATTGCTGGCCCTAGTTTTAGTTTTAATAATAGTTTTAATAATTTTAATAGTAGTAGTGTCCCTTGGAGCGTATTTGACACAAAACCCTTGGCAGCCATTGCAACCGAGGTATTAGCAAGAAAAAGTCTCACCTTTGCTTTATAAGAAAATGTGAACAAACGTAAAACTTATATCATACGTACGTAAACTTCATGTTATGTAATGTTATAACATTCTTAAACATCTATTAAGTTTTACAGTTTGGTTTTTACTTAAAAACTGCATTGCGTCAACTTCTTAATTTCTGATCTTCAGCATCTATATCTATTAAAAAGAATTTTTATATAATTTTAAAATTTCGATGACCAACGTGCCTGCATGGCCAAGTGGTTAGCTTCTGAACAAGAAAACCGTGATTCAAATCTAAGAACCCGCAATTCTTTTTTCAAATCTTTTAGAATCTTTAAAAAATATTTGTGAAGTTAAACAAATTAAGTGTAACAAGTTATGTGATTTAAAACATACTTAAACATATCAAGTTTGACTTTCACTTAAAAACTGCATTGCGTCAACCTCTTCTTAATTTCTGATCTTTAGCATCTATATTCGTTAAAAACAATTTTTATATAGTTTTAAAATTTTGATTATCATCGTGCCAGCATGGCCAAATGATTAGTGTGCTGAGCTTTTTTTTAAAAATTCTAAAAACATGAAAAAACGGGGTGATATTTGTTGTGTATGTGTCATGGTTGAGATACTTAAGTTATTTTAGTTTTACATTTCCAACTAAGTTTTTTTCCAACTAAGTTGAGTTTGTGCAAGAAAAATGAGTATACAACATGTTGACATATAGAATATAAAATCTATACAACTGTAAAGTTGTTTTGTTTTGCATTTTAAATCACAAAATTTAAAAAATTAATCAAGCTGATGATTTGAACTTACCACGTGGTGATCTTAACTTTTTCAAAACAATGCGGGGGTTTATGTTTTTTATAAGAACATAATTAAAAATTCTTATTTTATATTTAAATCAAACCATTTTATTAAATTAATTACTTTTAAAAATAATTAAAAGTTAAAGTTATTTAATATTGATACAATAAGGAAATTTAGAGTTATACATCTATTTTACCATGCCCCCGTTAAACATTCTAAACTGAGTGCGCAATAACAACAAAATTCAGATAACCATCAAAATACTCCATTATTTTTTGGCTTTATATACCTTTTGGCTGATCCCTAATCTAAACTTTGTAAGTGTAAATGTCTTATATGTCTTATACGTCTTCAGCATATGCTGAGTTTGCAGGCAGTTTATGGAATAATTGGGTATAATAAATTTATAAAAATGAGAAAACTTTCAAATTTTATTTTATTTATTAGAAATCATTTTTGGTATATTAATATTTTTTTACTAAAAATATTGCTATATTTATTATAGATATATACTATTATAAAATTTTTTCTAGAAATATTGCTCTAAATACAGCAAGATTGATAAATTTTAATCTTGCTATATTTGCCTTTAATCCTCCAAAACGACACTGATGACAGCGCACTAAACCACTGAGCTATCAATGATATGCGGTTAAGAGAACAAACGCTCAAAAGGGTGCGCATGTTAATATTTGCTCTTAAGCAATTTTTTAAAATGAGTTATTTTACGTAAAAATAGGTAACAAATAATTGGTACAGAAATAATCGGTGTGGAATAAATAAGTATAGAAATGGTGATATATGTATAAAGTAAAAGTATAGAAAAGGTCAATGTGTGGAAAAGACTTTTTTTTTTTATCTGACCTGTAAAAAAAAAAAAAAATTTACGGGCCAGATCAGCTAGTCTTTAATATTCACATTGATCTATATACTAAAAATATTTATTAAAAAGGTTAAAACACAATAAGAATACTGAATTAAATTGTTTTCTAGAAGACTGCAAACTATGTTTTTTCTATTTTAACATAAATCTATCCATTAAAACCAATACTGTTTTTTAATATATGAAAATCTGCAAAGATAATTCCGTTTTTCAAATCTGGTAACTGAACTTCCCAAAATTATCAATTGATGTCTTAAGAAAATGAATAAGAAACCTGCTTTTAAGTAACTTTCAATAAAATTTGTGAGCATTTTTCACCAATTAGGTGTCAATATCCAATGAGAGATTAACAATGGGTAAAAGTTTAGTGTTATATTCCTGTACCATTCAAAGGCTTTTGACTCAATTGCGTATGGCCTTATGTTGAATAAACTGATTTCTTATTGATAAATGTAAAATAATTTGACTGGTTAGCAGACTATTTAACAGTAGAAAAATTTGTTGAGGTTTTTCTCCTTATGTTGAAAAAAAAACACCAGATCAAGTTTTGATCCTACTTCTAGTTGGGCTTCTCAAATAAATGTTCTTGGATTGCTCCATTTATAATTTTTCCATAAATATTTCCAAACAATAAATTATTTTAAGACTACTACAATTAATAGTGTTAGTCTGATTACCACCAGTAAAGCTAGAAACTGAAAAAATGGTATTAATTTTGGTCAGGTTAGACTTCAAAATAGTCTCTCACATGAGCTGAGATTTAAATCTGGTTATAAAAAATTTTTCTTGCAAAAAATGTATTTTATATTACTTTTAAAATTTAAAATAAAATAGCTTTTTTTTAAAAAAATTTTGCAATTTATTTGTGTACTTTCTTTTTACTTTTTTTGCTTCTTTTTTAAACATTATAACTAGATTTTCAGAATAGTAGATTTAAAGTTGTATTTATAAAATGCAAATACGAAATTTGTCCTAATATAGGTTGATATATGTTTTTAAAAACCATATATTAAACCAAATATTAAAGAAATTTGATATAGTTTTTTAAAAGCATAGCCATAAATATTGTTTTTTTCTATAATATTTTTAATGTAATCATAGAATGAACACAGCATGAGCCTTGACGATTTGTTAATAAAATATGAAACAAGCTTAGAAAATGGGTTGTCAACTGATATTGCTGTTCGTAATTTACAACGGGATGGACCTAATGCTTTGACCCCGCCTAAGCAAACTCCAGAGTGGGTGAAGTTTTGCAAGCAAATGTTTGGTGGTTTTTCAATGCTTTTGTGGGCAGGTTCTATTTTGTGTTTTTTTGCATATGGTATTCGTGCAGTTAAAGAAGAAAATCCTAACATGGATGAATTGTATTTGGGTATTGTACTAGCAGTTGTCGTAATTATTACTGGTTGCTTTTCATACTATCAGGTTTAATTATATTTTATTAAAAATTGATTCAGTATTGTTCTGCTTACAATTTGATTGTTTAAATTAATTTAAGTATTAGGGCTACTTATGGTAGTTCACACTTATGCCAATGTTTGCAAATTCTTATGGCGCACTTATGCTAGTTCCCGCTTATGCCATTCACACTTATGCTAGTTTGCACTATTCAGTCATCCCTTTTCAAAACATAAAAAAAAAATTTTTTTAATTATTTTAAATAGCTAATAAAAATAACATTTTTAGTTAACTTTTAATAAATTTTTAGTTAACTTTTAATAAGTTTTTAGTAAACTTTTAATAGAGGTTTATTAAAACTAGTACATAGTAAATTGTTCTAATTTGCTGCTGACTGTGTTTTTCTTACTTAAATAATTTTTTACTTCAAATTGTAAAGATTGATTAGACTATTATAAATTAAAGATTTTTTTTAATAAGTTGTCACTAAATTATAAATTTAATATCTTTTTAAAAATTCTCACTAAAATTTATTGATAAACTTCACTACTTCATTTTTTTCTTAACAAATTGAGTTTTTGAAACAGTTTTTAATTTCTAAAGTTTTAACTGGTATATGAAAACATTACTAATCATTTAACCTTACTATTTAAAACAAGAAAAAATCAAAATAGTAGACATTAAACATATTACAGTGTTTTTTAAAATAGTTATCAACATGTGTTTTGTTTGCAGAAAAAAAAATTACATTAAAAAAATGGTGTTTTTTTAGTTTAATGACTATTTATTGTTAGTATGTAGACTTTCACTGGTAAGTTATACACCAAACTTTTTTCATGTTCCTTTAAATGAAAATGTTTTTTTTTTTTTGTACTCAAAAATCTCTTCATTTTATTTTGACTTTTATTACCACTTGTTACCATTTTATTACCATTACTATTTTAATTATCACAACACAAATGTGCACAAGGCAACGCATTCAGATGTACAAAACATATTCAATTGTGCATATTGTATTGTTAAATATCCTCAGGATTTTTAATACTAATAACAGTAATATTAATAAATATAGATTTTTTTACTTAGGAATCTAAGAGTTCAAAAATAATGGAGAGCTTCAAAAAAATGATCCCACAAGAAGCCAATGTGTTGCGTGAGGGTCAAAAAATTACTATAAATGCAGAACAATGTGTTGTTGGTGATGTTGTTTTTGTAAAGTTTGGAGATCGAATTCCAGCTGATATTCGAATTGTTGAATGTAAAGGACTGAAGGTAAATAATTAAGTTTAAAAGGTAACCATTAGTAAGCAAGTAACTATTTATACTATATTATATTAATCCATATCTATATAATGATGTTTATGTAGGTATGATTTTTTTTTTTAAATTTAAATAATTATTATATATTTATAGATAATTATTTCTATTTTTATGTATAAATTTTAAATTTTGGTTACCAAAGTCAATTTCTTCAACAGCAGCAATTTAATGGTGCTTGCGTTTTTTTTAACATGTAGATAATTGCAGTCTGGTAAAAAAGAATTTTTTAAACAAAAAGATATTTCTGAAATTTTTTTTTTTTTTTCAAAAAATTTATATTTTTTTCATTTTTATTCTTAAGGTTGACAACTCCTCACTGACTGGAGAATCAGAGCCTCAAGGTCGTAGTGTTGATTGTACATCTGAGAATCCTATTGAAACAAAGAACCTTGCTTTTTTTTCGACTAATGCTGTGGAAGGTACTGCTACTGGAATAATTGTTAGAATAGGTGATAATACTGTTATGGGTCGAATTGCTAATCTTGCATCAGGATTAGGAAGTGGTAAAACTCCTATTGCATTAGAAATAGAACATTTTATTCACATTGTAACGGGAGTTGCAGTTTTTCTTGGTGTAAGTTTTCTGATCATTTCCCTTGCAATGGGTTATCATTGGTTGGAGGCAATTATTTTCCTTATTGGTATTATTGTTGCCAATGTGCCTGAAGGTTTACTTGCAACTGTTACTGTAAGTGTTTAATTTTTTAAACAACAATTTGAACAGTTGATAAGTTTAATATCTAAATGTTTATAGCATCTATGGTTTTATTGATTATAATTATAATAATTAATAGTTATTGTTAACTAATATTTTCACAAAAACTTTTATTAGTTTTTACTTTATTAAGTTATTTTATTTTGTTTTTATATAAGTTAAAATATGTATATGAGTATATAAAATATATAAAAAGATATAATAAAAAAAATATATATATAAAAAAAAATTTAAAAAAAAAGATAGTTAAAAAGATTTTTAGAAAAATAATAGTAACATAAGTTAATATGACAAATATTTTTTAATAGTTACTATGACAATTTTTGAAGAGTTACTATGATAATTTTTGATGAGTTACTATGACAATTTTTGATGAGTTGCTATGAAAGTTTTTGATGAGTTACTATGAATGTTTTAGATGAGTTATTATGACAATTTTTGATAAGTTACTATGAATGTTTTTGATTAAAGGTGTACCGGATATTTTTGCCAGATATGCTGGATAGTGAACTTTCTATAAGTGTTCTATAAGTTCTATAAGTGTATAATATTTTTATAAGTGTTTCTATAAGTTCTATAAGTGTTTGTGAAGTAAAAACAAGTTTTGCCATTCTACATTAAATAGTGTTCAAGATTTCAAAAAATAAAATCAATAAAAAACTAGTATAACACAGATATATCAGACTTGGATAGGAATGGCGTGCGATCGCACTCTGTAACTGACCACGCTAATGTTTTTTTTACTTTACATCTTGACCACAACTATTTTGATGTTTTAACAATTTAAATGCTATAAAAAACTTTTAATTGTTGATCTTTTCTAGATTTTTTATTTTACAAAGACTTTAAATAAAACCATAAAATTAATTATAATGATTGTTTTTTTAAACGCATGTGTAAATTAAGAAAAATTGTTATAAATTTTTTTTTTATGTAGGCATGTGTTTTTTATGATAAATTTAAATGTTTGAAACTGTTAGTCCATGTCTTCCTAAAAATCTTTAATACCATTATTTTTAGAAAGAATTTTTTTTAAGTTACTTTAATGTATGAATAAGTTCAAAGCCTTTAGTGATTACTAGCTTTTACATATTTTATGAGAATATAAAATAACTTTATTTACTTATATAAGCATGTATTTTGTTGATTAATGGAAAAGTTTTGAAACATTTTGTAATGCTCATATGATTAGTTTTTATCAAACTTACGATTTTTTAAAATCTTTTAAAGAAACATTTAAATTAAATTTTTTTTTTTTTTTCCAATTATGATAGGAATGAATGAGTTTAAATCTTTTATAATAATTTTTAAATTTTTTACGTGAAGCGCTTATTAATAAAGTTGTAAAGCTCAAATTAAACCTAATTTAAATTGCTTGTTGGCAGTTAATTTTATTTAAATCGCAGGTGCAATTTATTTATTTATTATTATTACGAATAAAAAAGTTGAAAACCATGAAATTATTAAAAATTACTATTTTAAAAAGACTATGTTATTTTTTTAAACAATTTTTATTTTATTTTTTTAAATTTTTTTGAAAAAATAAATGTTTATACAATTTAAAAATATTTTAAATTGTATAAACATTTATTTTTTAATAAATTTGATAAAATTTATTCATTTATTAAACAATCATTAGTACAGGGATTATCTTTTTCCAGATATTTCCTGAGTTCTGGATATTTTATTTAACTTATAGTTTTTCCGGATATCCAAAGTATTTTCAATAAATGCAAGTTGAGGTATATATTTTTGTAATATATTTGTTTTTTAAGCTTTTTCACTCATCACTCATAGAAAAATTATGAAAAGCATTTCTGAAATGTTTAAATCGTCAAAACATTCTAAAACATCAAAACAGTCGTGGTCAAATTGTAAAAAAAAAAAATCATTAGCGCTTGATTGCACACCATTCCTGTCCAAGCCTGGTATATGCGTTAATAATGTATAAAGAAAAATCGTTTTTTTTTGTTGTTGTTGTTGTTTTTTTTTATTACTATTTTCTATACTTCGTCAGCACATATACCATGTTATACAGTTTTTCACTGATTTTTTAAAGTAAGATCTTGAATACTATTTATTGTAGACTGGTAAGACTTGTTTTTTCTTCATAAATACTTATAGAGCTTTAGAAAAGTTCAATATCCGGCATATCCAGCAAAAATATCCAATACATCTCTATTTTTGATGAGTTACTATGAATGTTTTTGATGAGTTACTATGCCAATTTTTTTGATGAGTTACTATGAAAGTTTTTGATGAGTTACTATGACAGTTTTTGAGTGATATAATAAGAAAATTTACAAACAGTTGAAAGGCTTAAGAGCTAGCTCATTAATAATTTTCCAATGTGAATAAATACATAATTTGGCCGTTCCTAGTTTTAATTTTAGGTACAGTCAATAAAACTCCATCTTTCTTGTTAACATTTGATAAGTTTTAAAAATACTTTTAATTTTTTTTGCGGATTGTTTTTTATATTTGTTATTGTGCAAAATTTATGGACAAATGTATAGATGCCTTTGCAGACTTGGTCGGGAAGCGGGAGCGATCCCTCTTGATTACTGACCATGGAAATAATATTTCGCTTCCACGCACAAAATCTACATTTATTAAGAGACTGTAAAATCTGTTGAGTGGAAAGATGTGTCTGTGTTAGAACTAAAAAAAAAATGCTAGGACTACTTATGAGTAGAGTTCGCAAAGATACGAGGGACGAATATTGGTTGACGGACAAAACAATTCAAACTCCAATTTTAGCTCAAATAATGAGTAGGGATCGATTTCGACAAATATGGTATTCATGGCATTTTTCCAAATAATGCTGATAGAGAAGATAACGATTGCCTTAAAAAAATCGGCCCTATTATTTCTTATTTTTTGCATAAATTTCAAGAAGTTTACAAACTGTAGCAAAAATTATCTATAGATAAAAGCATCATTTCATGGAGAGGTCGCCTATCCTTCAAAGTTTATAATGCTTCAAAAATGACAAAATAGAGAATTCTCATAAGAATAAGTTGCGAAGCTAAAACCGGCTATATTTGTTTTTTTTGTATATACTGTGGAGGATGAAGTCAATTAAAACAAACATTTTAAAATCTTCTTCATTCGTATTTGAACTTATGGCACCACATATATATGGATAACTATTATAATAGTGTTGACACTTGTAAAATACTTTTACAACATAGATTTTGGACTTGTGGCACTATTCCCACAAACAGAGGTCTTCCTCTTTGTTTAAAAAATGCAAAACTAAAAAAGGGGGAATCTATCTTTCGTTGTCGGCAAAACATTTTATTTAATGTTGGCAATCAAAAAGACCTGTCCGAATGATTTCGACTATACATTCTGCTAATGTTGTAGAAAGCCACAATATTGATTGGATGACAAAAGAAGGAATTTTTAAGCTTATATGTGTGATTGATTATGACAAATATATGAAAGGTGTTGATCGCGCCGATCAATATTTGTTGTATTATACTTTACTATGTCGTACAAAAAAATGGACTAAATGAGCTGTGATGTTTCTAATAAATTGTGCATTATTTAATTCGTTTAGAGTTTTTAAAATATTAAATTCAAAATCAAAAAAAAAGTACAAAGTTTTTTTACATGATATAGCAAAGGAATGGTAAAGTGAAGTTACTCTGGATAATGATAATCGTTTTGCATCAAGTACATCAGCTACATCCAGAAAAATTGATCCTAAAGGAAGATTGTCAAATAATACAAAGAAACTTAAAATCAACATTTTTTACAGGTGGCATAAAAGTAAAGCCCTAGTGACAGTGCCGTGTCTGTGCTGCGCATAAGAAAAAGTTTAACCTGCCATATGTGAAGTGTCTCTTCATAAGGGAAACTGTTTTTTTAAATACCATACTTTTGAAAAGTATTAGGGAGTGATTTTTCCACGAAAGCTTAAAAAATCAATAAGACATAAATGTAAATTTATCATTAGTTTTATTTTTTGAACTAAATATGGAGATTATTAAACAGTTTTATTAAAAAATATAAAATAATAATATCTAAAATATAGTTTATATTTGATAAAATATCAAACATCATAAATAAAATATATTAAAACAAGTAAATATACGATATATAAAATATACATATAAGTTTAAAAACCAAGCATTTTTCTAAAACAAAATACATTATTTATCACTGTCTATATTTTTGGTTGTAGTTTTTCAAATAAAATAAAATCGAGTGCTAATACCCGACCTGCTGATAAACAGCAGTCCGCGCAATGGGTACTACCCAACCCGCTTAAAAAGTTATAATTTTTAGAAAATTTCCCACATTAATTTTTACTTGTTATTAACAAAAAAATTATTTTTCAAAATTAAAAAAAAATTTAAGTGAAAATAGACCTTAAGAATTAAAAAACATTAGTATGTTTTTAAAAAAAAAAAAAACATTAGTATGTTTTTTAATTCTTAAGGCCAATTTTCACTTAAATTTTTTTTTAATTTTAAAATAAAACTTCTAATTTTAAAATAAAACTAGTAGCTGATAAATATTGAAACTTTCAGTGTAAATTCGGACCCCTTTATACTTATATACTTCTGTACTTTTTTCTGTTTTAAATACTAGTTAAAGTTAAAAAGCCTACTCACTAAACATCATCAGCGATATTATGAAGCTGTTCTGTTTCCTCTTCATAAAGTATTTTTAACCTTTTTATCTGATTTTTATCTAGTTAATTTAATTTCTTATTTAAGCTAAACTTAAATAACACTAGTTTTAGTTTTATTTAAGTTTAGCTTAAATAAAACTAAAACTAGTGTTAATTTTATTAGAATCTTGTTGGACTTTTTTGGGGCTGGGGCTATTTTTATTTTGGAGGCCTTTTTTATGTGCCACAGTGTAAAAATGACTAAAAAAAGGTCTTCTTGACTATTTTGGGGCGCCTAACATTGCAGGGCCCGGAACTATAGCCTTCTCTAACCCCAACCCTTCTTAAATCAGCACTGGAAATAAGACACCAGTATATCAATAAAAATTATATACTCTTTTATAAATTGTCTTTTATCAAAATACTTTTCTAGTAATTTAGTTTAGGCGCAACATTTTAACAGGTTCACTATATATAATTGAGTTTGTCGGGTTTTTTTTCAATTAATTGTTGTTTCTTATAATTATAAGATACCTTTTTAGACCTATTGTAAATAATTTTATAAGGAATTTTTTTTTTGAATTTGTAGTTAGTTTTATAGGTAGCTTTGTTTATTTGTACATTACAAGCAATTAAACTTAGAAGATATATTTAATACATTCAAAGAGAGTAAAGTGATCACTCTAATTAGTTATTTTTGTTTCTGATGACAATATAGCTTGAGTTTACTTTGGTTGGTAGTGGTCTGCATATTATTTGCATAATTGATGAGTGAAAATTAAAATTTTTTTGTTCAGTGACAAAATAAAATATCTTTTTAAATAAAAAATTTCTAAATATTATTCTTTTTAAATAAATATTTTTTTGGCAAATGTTTCTGATTGTAATTAGATATTAAAGTTACTTAAAACCTAAAAATTAAACTTCAACAGATTTTAAATTTTGTTGTTGTTATTCGTTACTGTCATCAATCAAACCCTTATATACTGATATAAAATTAATATATTTAATAAAACCCCTTTATACTGATTGATATATTAATACAGTACTGGTTATATATCTATCTATTAATGCCATTATTGTACCAAATATTTACACAAGTATTTATCTTCAATATTTTATACATAAAATATAAAGATTATAAAAGTTTTGTAATTGTTGCACAATTAATTTAAAAAAATCATTGTTTTAAAGTGCACAAGAACAAGAGGCGAATTAAGTGTCATGAATTGCAAAATCTGGAAGTATTTCTTGTCTTTAAATTTTCAGTTTTATGCTTATTTAAATAAAATAGTTTTAATGAAAAAGTTAATTCATCATATTGGAAAAATTTAAATAATAAATTTATAGCTGCAAAAATTAATAACAGTCAAAACTTACATAATTTAATTTATTGTTTGTTTAAACACCAGTTAATTTAAGTATTGTAAATAAAAATTAAGTTTAAAATGATAATTAATTAAAGTCTGAAAATATGCGCTGTGATCTTAAAATCAACAAATTAAATTATGCTAAAGCTATTTGTGTGTTGTACAAAACATTAAAATTTGATTTGAGTTTAGGGGAAACTTTGAAGATTTATTTATTCAAAAAATAAAATGTTTTAAATTAGACATGAATTAAATAATAATAAAAATAACGATAAATAAATGTTAATATATATTAACATTTATTTATCGTTAGTTTTATTATTAGTTTTGTTTTAAAGTATAGTATAAGGAAGCTAACTATAGCTTCTTTAAGTTTGTTTGTTTACAATTGTGTCTTTAAGTTAAGTTTTTATATAAATTTCTGCTCTAGAGAGTTACAAGCATTTGACAGTTTTATTTGATTGATAAGAAAATCTTAAATTAGATTTAAATTTAATATTGAATAAGATTTAAATTAGTAGTCATGATTTTTTTACATTAAAAATTTGATCACCACTAAAATTTGATCACTTCTAAATTCCATTAGGTTGTTGTGATTTGCAATTATTTTCTTTTTAATATTACATTGTGCTGTATGCTTTATTTTTCTTGTTTTATCTGATGATTTTTAAAATGAATTAAGGTAATGAATTAAAATGAAGTTTAAATAATAATAATAATAACAACAATAATAATGGTTTTATAATGAGATATTCATCATCATTTCAACATCAATAATAATAATATGGTTTTATAATGAGATATTCATCATCATTTCAACATCAATGCACAATTTTTTTTTTGAATAACAACTAATGAAATTTGTGATAAAAACAGTGTTTATGGTTTTTAAAAAACTAAAAATTTCAAGACCTGAAGCATTTCCAGATATTGAATATAACTTGAAATTTTTAATTTTAGTAATAATTTACTATATTGATTACCCTGTTTGATCAGAGCACATGAATATAAGTTTAAATTTTAATAACAATTTACTAATTGTTAAGATAATTTACTAATTGTTAAGATAATTTACTAATTGTTAAGATAATTTACTAATTGTTAAGATAATTTACTAATTGTTAAGATAATTTACTAATTGTTAAGATAATTTACTAATTGTTAAGATAATTTACTAATTGTTAAGATAATTTACTAATTGTTAAGATAATTTACTAATTGTTAAGATAATTTACTAATTGTTAAGATAATTTACTAATTGTTAAGATAATTTACTAATTGTTAAGATAATTTACTAATTGTTAAGATAATTTACTAATTGTTAAGATAATTTACTAATTGTTAAGATAATTTACTAATTGTTAAGATAATTTACTAATTGTTAATCAGAGCACTTGAATATAAGTTTGAATAATATTTTTAATTTGAATTAATTTGAATAATTTTTTAAATTAAAGTTAATTTAATTTAAATTTATTATTATTAAAATTTATTTATTATTTTATAAATTAAAACTAATTTAAATTAAAATTAATTTGAATAATAATTTACTAAGTGTTAAGATTTGAATTTTTAGGTGTGCTTGACTCTGACTGCAAAAAAAATGGCAAAAAAAAATTGTCTTGTAAAACATTTGGAAGCAGTTGAAACTCTAGGTAGCACTTCTGTTATTTGTTCTGATAAAACTGGTACATTGACTCAAAATCGTATGACTGTTGCTCACATGTGGTTTGATAAAATGATTATTGAAGCTGATACTACTGAAGATCAGTCTGGAATAGCACATGATAAAGGATCTTCAACATGGAAAGCTCTTGCAATGGTTGGTGCATTATGTAACCGAGCTGAATTTAAGCCTAATCAAAATGATATTCCAGTTCTCAGGTTTTAATTTTGAAAATTATGTTTGTTTTAATATACCTATATATTAGGGTGGAGGGGTTTTTATAGCAAAAAAGGAAATTTAAAAAGAAACATTCCTGAGTTGTGAATGGTTTTCTATAAGCTTTAACGGGAAACTAAAAAAATATTTTTGGATTTAGATGAGTTTCCTTGAGGTTCTCGGACAAAAAAGTTTTAGTTACATTTTTGCAATTTTTTTTAATAAAAAGTTTTCATAAAATAAAATTAATAATTTCAAAACGAGCATTTTATTCTGCGTCTTTTAAGTATCAGGTTGACATAGTTTAGAGGAGAAAAAAAATTCTTATATTAGGATTCCACAAAAATCTTGATTCCTAGAGGAGCCTCAAAAAATCATTTTAAAAAAGTTTTTACTAAAAGACAACAATTTGAAACTCAGACAAACCTAATTTCAAAATATTTTCAAATTGCTCCACCCTATGTATTAAATAATGTCCTGTAACACAAGACAGAGTTTGACATAGTAAGGTTATTTGTAAGTAAGGTTAAGTATTTGAAGTAAGGTTAATTAACATTGATTTTATTAAAAGTTTGGTCTCAACTTCTGTTTATGGTCATTCAGTATGCTAATATAACAAGAAACTGATGACAATTTAGTGTTAAATATAAGTTTATTTATGTTCTGTTTTTGTTCTCTGTTTGGTCTTTAAAGTTAGCAATTGGTTTAGTTTCTATCCAGGCATTAAAAAATTAAACAAACAATTCAATACTTTTTTGTCTAAACTTAGTTGACAATACTTTATATATGTGTGTGTTGCGGAGGTACATTAAATTAAATTACTTTTTAAAAAACTGCAAAAATTATGACTAGAAAGTTTTTTAATTAGGGTTAACCACCCAGTGGTCAACGTTTTTTTTTACCTAGTCTTATATAAACGATTTTTTTTCTCAAAAAGATTTTGATTCTCACTCGCTACTTTAAAAATTATTGTATAAAGTTTCTCTTTACAATACACTTTGTGTGAATTGTAAAGAGAAACTTTATACAATACACTTTGTATAAATTGAGTTATAGCCTCCCAAATGTTGATCACAGGACAACATCTTATGATTGACGTTTTTGTTCTCCAGTATTCGACAATTACAAAATTTTTTGAATTAAGTATTTTTTTAAACACAGTTACTTAAATGATACATAGCAAAACAAAAAGTATTTTTTTTTATTGTTTACAACTTTAACTTTAAAAAACATTCTTTGAAGAAAAGATTTAAAAATCTGTTTTTTATATTTCACACTGTAAGATAAAATTTTATAAAATTAAAATTCATTATTTTTCTGCTTTGTTTTTGTGGTTTTCTTCGAAAATTAAGCATCACTGCTTAACTTTCTTTTAACACCAGCAGTAGTTGTGCTTTTTTTTCTTTTCTGCAGTTGTCAATCATACTTGTTTGCAAATTTTTTTGAGGGCAATAGTTTGCTATCTGTTTTGGAGATTTTCAAATATCTTTGTGAGCAGTTTTATGGTTTATCCGAGGCAAAGGTAAAGGAAGGAATCTTTGTTGGACCAGACATAAGAAAATTTATGAGAGATCCAAATTTTGTGGACAAAACGAAAACGAAAGAAAAGGTAGCATGGACATCTTTTAAATTCGTTGTTACCAGTTTCCTAGGAAACAACAAAAATCCAAACAATGGTTTTGCCATTGTCACTGACATGCTTGACAACTCTAAGAAGCTGGGCTGTAACATAAGCATTAATGTTCATTTTCCAAGGAAATGGAAAGAAGAACGTCAACATGATAGCGGATTACTGTTGGATGTTGAAGAGAGATGATCCTGAAAGAGTCCACAACAAGAAAAGCAATAAATAATTTTGCAGACCTGTGTTATCTGCATTTCTTCTTTGTAAGCAATTAAACCATTTTTTCCTCGTGGTAAAGTGCAATGATTCTTAATGAAATTTTTTTTTTTATTGTGCCTGCTCCCAGTGATTCTATAAGATTAGTGCAATATTTATCAGATAAGGTTTGAGACCTAGCGTTGAGCTTCTCAATAAGATCTGCTTGCATACATTAGTAACTGATTATAAAATTAATTAACTAATATTACATTAAAAATGCCAAATTTACTTCTTAACATCTTGAACTGCATTGCCAATATCCTCATCAATATATCTGGATCTTAGGGGTTGTCTATAAATTACATCCTGCTTTACAAAAGGGGAGGGGTAATGTTTTTGTAACAACTCATATGGAACTTGTTACTAAAGCATTACAATGTTGTGACAAGGGGGAGGCATCTAAAATGGTCAAAAATTGCTTTATATAATTTGTGGACAACCCCCTATGCCATTTTTGAGCAACTGGTTATTTTAGGAGACATCTTAACTTTATTTTATTTTAGTTTAATAATTTTCAGTAGTTATTAGCAATAAAAACATTTAGATATTTATTTGAGAACTCCAAGATTTGGAATTAATCTCCAAGGGATTTACTATGTTGCAATCTTTAATGATTGTGCAAATAAAAACAATTTGCATTAAAAATTGTCCTTAGAGAATTGTTGTGTAATCATAACATTCAAGAAAGCATTATTTTTTAAAGGAACTCTAAAAACATTTTTTTCAGTCAATGAATACTATGCGTTGTTGTTTAAGACTTGAATAAAATTCAATAACTTGTAGAACTGTTAGTTTCAAACATAAATCACTGGCACAAATCACATAAAATGCTATATTGTGGGAAATCAGAACCCCTATTTTACAATAAAGTAATAATGGTAGTTTTTTTTTTTTTTTTGTTGAATACTGGAATACATAATAAATATCTTCTGGTCTTTGACCCCTCACTCCCTTTTTAGTGTTTTGATTTTAAAGATTTGTACATTTATCTCATCTATTTTTGTGTCAACATGAAAAAGAAAAAATTTCAATTACATTGCACTTTTTGTACCTTCTTACCACATATGTATGTGTGTATGTAATGTATGTATGTAATATATGTACTTTATTTTGCCTGTATACAATTTTTTTTGAAAGTCTCTCAACATGTTACATAAATTTCAACTCATAAAAAAAATATTAAACATAAACATCTTTAAAGAAATTCAAATTATTTTTAAACTTTTTCATACAAAGTTTCAATTTTTTAACACTTTTACTTTCTCAAATTTTTAATTTAAACTTATGCTCAATATGCTGTTACTTTATTCTTAAAAAGAAAATATTTTAGTTTATAAAGATAATAATGACAAGAGGGATTTTGTGTGATTATCAATGTGATGTCTTTTTTTTTCTCTTGTCATAATCAATTTTGTCATAATGACAAGAGTGATTATATGTAATTATCAATGTCTTTTTTTAATACTTTAATTTTTTAATTATTTAAGCAGTACATTAAGCAGTACTATAATTCTTATAGCTTTTAATATCTTTTTTTAATAGTTTTTTTTTTTAATAATTTTTAATGCTCTCATTATTTTTTATATAGAAAAGAGTGTAATGGAGATGCCTCAGAAACTGCTATTTTAAAATTTGTTGAGCTATCAATTGGTAATGTTATGGATATTAGAGCAAAAAATAAAAAGGTTGCAGAGATTCCGTTTAATTCAACCAATAAATATCAAGTGTCAGTTCATGAGCAAGATAATAGTAGTGGTTACCTACTTGTTATGAAAGGTGCACCTGAAAAGGTGTTAGAAAGGTGTTCTACAATTCTTATAAATGGTGAAGAACAACCTCTTAAAGATGATGTTATAGAGATTTACAATAAGGCTTATGATGAACTAGGTAAGTTGTTTTTTTTAGTTTAAAATATAGAAATTTATAAAAAAATGTATAATTAAGCACTAAACCAGCTTATACAAGAAAATTAAAAAATTGAGTTTATATTGAAAAATAATGTAATGTTTCTTTGTAAACAACAGTGTAACATTTCAAAGTGCACTGTGTAGCAATTATATTTAGTTTGTTTGGTGTAGCAGCTTATAGTTTGTTTTGTGGCTTTTGTTGAAAACTTTTAAACTTTGCGATCATGGTTTTATTTATTTTTTTATTACTTGAAGCTTGAAACTTATTGTTGAAGTCTAAATCAATACTCAAAAGTCATATATAATATAGTGTACAAATACAAATAAAAATTAAGGTTGAAGTTACTAAAAAGTTTACAATCTGCTCAACATATTTCTTTTTATTACATGTAGTCTGGTCAAAATAGTCGAAAAAATAGTGGTAAGTTTGCAATATTTTGCATAGAGCTGAAAATTGGTACAGATGTTGGAGATATAATTAAAAATAAGTTGTAAAATATCCCCACCGATTCGACATCTGCAAAAAAAGTTATTCAAGGTAAAAGGATAAAAACTTACGTTGTGTATTTTATTATCTACAGAAAAAAAAAGTTGTTCTAATTCAAGATCAGAAAAAAAAAATTTTTCTGATCTTGAATTAGAACAACATTATATTGCTAAATTTTAGGGGGTTTTATTTTTTGTTTAGCCATTCTAAAATAAACTACATTTAATTAAAATTAGGTTTTTATAATTGTGATATGTTAAAAAAAAAGTTTAAGAGTATTGTTATAATTGTTATGATTTTTATTTATTAGTTTTTTTAAATAAATTTTTTCTTTATTAATTTTTTGTTTTTATAAACCCTGTTATGAAAATCAATTAACAAATATTCTTTTGCAAGATTTTTTAAACTAAATTTTCTTTTGAAAACAAGTTTTAAACACTAAAATTATTTCATCGTGTTATACCAAATTATATTTGTTCTAAACAATATTTTGTCTGGTTTTTGCAGTTAATACGCTTGGTTATTGATAAATATTTTTCATAACAATTTATACTATTTAATACTTTTTTACAAATGTCGTAATTATGTTTTTTTTGTATTAAACTTTTAACAACAAACGAAACAGTTTTTTTTGATTGTGGAATGAAGACTTTAAATGGTTCTAGTGTTGGTAGAAATCTAGAAAGCTTAAATACCTAAAAGGCCAGAAGGTAAAAAGTACCTAAAAGGCCTTGAGTACCTAAAAGGCCAAAAGTCTGTGACAATTCATGTGCAGTGCCATAAAGCGTATATTTGGAAGAGTACTTTTGCAGCATTTAAAATACAGCAACAAATGGGTCAACCCAGTACATCCAAAATTAGTCCACCTTGTACCAGAGCTTGCGTGAGTGAATCCAATTTTTGTTTTAAGATATGTTTATTGTGCAGCGATGAAGCGAATGAAACTTAAGTTGGTCTGAATACGTAGCAAAAAATGTTACTGCATGCATTGAGTATGAATATGATTTAGTTGCTGCTGAGGTTAGGCACCAAAATAATTGTTAAAATTGGTTGTCCTTAAGATGAATCTTCGAATGATTTGATGGAAAAATATTTAGAAAATAGTGATGATTGTCAGTTTTTATTGGAAGAGTTAAAAAGTATTTGTAAAAATCCAGATTTAGGTAACAGAACAATCAAGATACCAATGAAATTCAAGTATGGTGATAAAATTATTATCACTGAAAAACTGGGCAGATTAACTTTCATTTGTTAATCTGCCCAGTTTTTCATTTTTATCATCCACCATTTCTTACCGATCTTTCCACTAGCAACTGACACATTTATTCAATATGTTGAAGGCAATGCTAATATGAATGTAGGAACTTGAAACGGTAGTAACACCCTTTACATAAAGGGTATCATTCAAATTATTACCCCAAAAATTTCATTTACACAAAAAGATCAAATACCACAATAGATCTTGTTATTAATCATGAGATTGTTGCAGGTCTTAATATTACCACTGAAAATGTAAATAACATAACTTTATATAATGATATCGAAAGTAGTGACAATAATGAAAGATGTAAAGAATTACTTTATCAGTTCAATGAAAAAACAAAAAAAATTTGAAAATGGGAGACCTATAGCAAAACTATGGATACAATATTTTAATATGGTGTCGATTACAAAGAAGTTTATAAGAGATTAACGCATGGGAGATAGGTGAGCTTATTTGAAGAGCATCTTTTTGCTCTATATGGAGCTGCAAAAAAAATTGTTTGTATAGACAAGTATAGATACAAATTTTGTAAAAAATACACGGAACAATAGAAGAGTTAACTATCTTGTCTTCTTCCAAACTATCTTGTCTGCTTCTGCTAGTCAACATATCCGGTACACTATCAGTTTCAAGTATAGATAGGCAATCAACTGGACCCAGCAGACTGGGGTTGGAAATTGGTAGGTAATACATTGGAGCCAATTCAAACTTACTCCCACCTGCTCCAGAAATACTTCTCAGCTTCATCTTTTGCAATTGCAAAAAGGATTGTAGTGCAAAATGTAGCTGCAAAAAAGTCAGGTTATTGTGTTCACCAGTATGTACTAATTGTCAAGACCAATCTTGCTCCAATATTGAATCAATTTCAACAAATGAAGATTTTGATGGTATAATTGATCAGACAGACAGATACATTTTTTTTACATTTCTAGCTAGAATAATAATAAGAAGAATTAAAAGAGGAAGAAGAAAAAAGCTAAGAAGATGTACTAATATATATGATAGTATATATAATAATACATATAATATTTAAAACATAATATACAGATTATGTTGAATAAGACTTCTTCAAATTTAAGATTTGCAATACCTCAGGAATAGTAATTCTTAGAAAAAAAATAAAGGCAATTTTTGAAGATAATTTCATGATCAAACATTTTTGCTTGATCTATTTTTTTTTTTATGATAAAACTTACCGTTTACTGGAAAAATCTGAAAAACCATTTTTTTCAACCTTTAACCTCGAATAACGTTTTTAGCAGATGCAGGGTCCGTGGGGACTTTTAATATTTTATTTGTAATAATTCCCCGTGGTCTGTATCAAATTTCAGCTCTATGCAAATTATTGTAAACTCAAATGTCTATTTTCACCGGACTGTTGTTAAAACCAAATGTTTTGCAGTCTATTACTAAGTAATATACTGTTCAATATATATATATATTTTTTTGGATAGTTTATCAAATTCTTATTGTCAATACTTACTGTCAATACTAATTCTTGAATACATTTACAATTTTAGGTGGTCTTGGTGAAAGAGTTTTAGGATTTTGTCATTATTACTTACCTGTTGATCAATATCCTAAAGGCTATTTGTTTAAGACTGATGAGGAACAAAATTTTCCATTAGAAGGACTATGTTTTGTTGGTTTGTTAAGTATGATTGATCCTCCCCGAGCAGCTGTTCCTGACGCTGTTAGCAAATGTCGAAGTGCTGGTAGGTTGCAATTTTAAAAATTATTTAGGTTATTAATTATGTAGATTGTTTTAACATATTAACATAATGTTCTAACATTTTACTTTTATTAGATTGTCATTTCCAAAAATGTTTTTCATAAAATTAAGTCGTTGTTCCTATTTTATTGTAATACCAAAATTATAACAAAAGTCTAAAAAATTAGTTTCAATATCAGACTTTTTGAAGTCAGCAAATACTTCTCTATTATCAAAATAATTTTCTTTTTTTATTTATTTCTCCATTGCAATTTTTCCTCTATTTATTGGCAATTGCAGAATCTTCATGACTCTTTTTTGCCATTCATTGTAACGTTAATCAGTAATTTGCATTTAGCATAGCAAAAGTTTATTCAATTGATTTGATCAACTTGTTTCACTGTTTTGTGTTTATACCTGCAAAGTTTAAAATCTTTTCTTAAGCCATACCATTGCATATAAAATGCACTATGAACCAAATAATATAACAATATAAATATTTTTATATCATATCCTCATATCATCCTTATAATGTTCTTGCATAATCCTGGTACACACATTACCTTTATCTTTGCAGTTGTATTAAGATATTTTTGTATTTAGAATTAATCAATTGATTGATCTATACCTGGTACTTGTTCCTGGTCTTTATTCACATTAAACTTGTGAATAAGCTTGTTTAACGCAAAGTTCCTATAAGATGCACAACCAAATTGTTTGCATATGATATATGCAAAACAAATAAAAAACATCTGATAGAGGAAACTGTTTGATTAATTTGGCTAATTAACCCTTTACTTCACCAAATCAAACTAAAAATAAAAAATATTATTAAATGTTTTTTTTTTTTACTTCTATAGTATACTATTTCATGTTCAAAAAAAATATTTATCTCTTTATAATAATACTGGACTTAATAGTAGTAGTAGTAGTAGTAGTAGTAGTAGTAGTAGTAGTAGTAGTAGTAGTAGTAGTAGTAGTAGTAGTAGTAGTAGTGCGCTTTCGAGCCTGTTTGACACGATACTCTTGGCAACCATTGCATCCGAGGTAGTGACGAGAAAGAGTCTTACCTTTGCTTTATAAGAAAACGCGAGCAAACGTGAAACTCATATTGTACGTACATAAACTTCATGTTATGTAATGTTAAAACATGCTTAAACATATATCAAGTTCAACAGTTTGATTTTCACTTAAGAACTGCATTTCGTCAACCTTTGCTTAATTTCTAATCTTTTGTGTTTTTATCCGTTAAAAAACAATTTTTATATAATTTGAAATCTTCAAGCCACTACGTGACAGCTTAGTAGAGTGGTTAGCGCGCTGGGCTTCTGACCAAGTTAGCGGTGGTTCAAGTCCTACCATCGGCGACCTTTTTTTTTATTTTTTTGCACATGTGTCATTATTGAGATACTTATGTTATTTTAGTTAAACTTTTCAAGTTTATTTACAACTAAATTGAGCAAGGAAAATTAGTAAAAAACATGTTTATATATAGAATATAAAATCTATATAACTTTTGATTTGCATTTTAAACAACAAAACCGCATGCCAAGCTGATGAACTTGCCACACGGCGACCATAACTTTTTTTAAAAATGGTAAGGGGGCTAAAAAAAAGTATATTTTTATTTACAACATAATTAAAGATTTTAATTTTATATGTACACTAAATTATTGTATAAAATTTATTGTTTCTAAAAATAATTAAAAGTTAAACTATTTAATATTAGCATAACACTGATTTCTAATCTTTTGCATTTATATCCGTTAAAAACAATTTTTATATAATTTTGAATCTTTAGTTCTTAATGCATCAGCGTAGTCGAGTGGTTAGCGCTGGGCTTCGGAGCATAGTTGGCGTGGTTCGAGTCCTACCGTTGGCGTCTACTTTTTTATTTTTTTTTTTAGATTTTTTTAAATACAAATTCAAATACTTATAAAGTTTTATAGATATTGTATATAGACAACATATGTAAAGATATTAATCAAAAGTTTGATCCTCGCATTTTGACACAGAACCAACTTTGCTAACGAGAGAAAAAAAATTGTTCACAAATTTCAAAATTTTGTTTTTTTGTGAAGTCTTTTAACACTTAGTTTCCAACTTTCTTGACATATTCCAAGTCTTTTTGAGAAAAAAACTTTGTTGATCAAGTATACAAAAACAGAAATTCAGCTTTTTTGTATATGATAAATATCGCTGTGGTACAAAGTGCCAACCTAGGTTTTTTAAACAAAATGCCAATCGAGTTTTACTTCCATGCGGTTTTAATCACCACGAGGCTTAGTTAAATGCTTAGTTAAATACTTAAAAAAAGATAAAATTTAAGGCTTAAAAAAAGAATTTTTTACAAATTTTTTCTTACATCTCTCTAATCCTTGACTTTTGGATTTAGATTTATTACATTGATAGTAACATTATCATATTATTATTTTTAGATTATTACATTGTTTGATATTTTTTTTAGAATTTAGATAAAAGCGACAAAAAAAGCGTCTCCCCCCTATCCTTTAGGATTTTAGAGTCACCATTAAATTTTGACATAAGTTGCAAGAAGTGTCTCGCAAATGCCATTTATGTTAAAGTTAGTGTTTACGCAATCAATAAGTTTAATCTTCGTATCTAGGACATTAAAAATTATCATTTAGATGTTTTCATTTGATTGAGATTATCTTGCGTTATAAACCGGATAATAGTTCTTATGAACTGTAAGCACGCGGATAAAGTGTGCATCAATATCCTAAAGACCCGTATTTTACGGGTCATGACAGCTAGTACTTTTATGATTTATTTAAAAGATATGATTGTTGTACAACAACATTGCAAAAATTGGGTATAAAAACAACACAAATTATAAAGTAATTTTTGGAATAAAATCATGTTAAAAACAAATAGACATTAATGTAAATATTAATGTATATTGAAAGATATTTAAATTCCCATTCAAATGTTAAAAACTCTAGCTGTGGAAACTATAAAAACAATTGCAAGAGGTAACCAAACACAAGTGGACTTTACATTTTTCACAAAAAATACGACTATACCCAGACTTGCAATGTTTGCATCGTTGCTGTTTTTCAGAAAAGTTAGGCAAGTGACCAACATTGTCTAAGCAGATTTCCCTAGCTGGAGCATTTACTGCGCAGCGTTTTTTTTTACAACAGGTGTATCACTTCTTGGTCTGCCTCGAGAAACTTTTCTTTCTCTTAATAAAGAGTCTGCGATGCGTGTTTGGAACTCTAATAGTTGAATTATGTTTTTCCTGGTATATCCATTTTGTTTACAATGCCTTTTATATAAAATCCAACCATTCACTATTGCTACATTGATACAATAATAAATTATATGCATATACCATTTTTTTGTACCTAGCTTAATTTTATACAATGCCATCAACATATCACATAAGTCAATCCCACCCATATGCTTATTATACTGATGTATCATATCCTGGCAAGACACTTTTACAACAACTTTGTCTTTGCTAGACGATTAATTGAATCTTCTAATGATGGACCAATAAATGTAGATGCTAGTTGTACCACTCCATTATCCATCCAACGTATAACTGTTATGTTAGAATTAAAATCAACCCGGTAATCTAATGAGCCACGTCCCATTTTTTCTAGTTCTTTTTTTTTAAACATTACTTTTTCAGCACCATGCAAGCGGTTATTACAAATAGTTCCAACAGCCCATATTCCAAGATCCTTAAGAGTGTTAAACAATTTTATGCTTGTAAAAAGATTATTCATGAAGATTTTATGTCCAATATTTTTTGGCAAATGTGTAACGAGTTTAAGCACTCCTGCTCCAACTTTACCATATTCTTTAGAAATACTAATATTTTCTTCCTTGCCAAGATAGTAAAATCATAAAGCAACCCGCTGACTCCACATCGTGCCCAGACTTTTATGCTCCATTTGTGCGGCTTCTTTGGAAGATATTGTCTGATCGGACACCTTGATTTTGTGGGAATAATTTGCTCATCAATAGACTGACATTCTTCTTGTTCTACTAACCTGCACATATCAAGAACAGATTGCACAATTGGTCTAACTTTGTACAAATGATCATATTCTGCTGTGCCTTTTTTTGGCATGTGTGTGTTATCATTTACATGAAAATATTTTTTTAATAACTCAAATCGTTTTAAAGCCATAACTTCTGCAATTGATGCACATTTAGTGTGTTGAGACCAATACATTCTATATTGTGGATATTTTAGCACGCCCATAGTAATTAGTATCCCAATAAACTGTTCAATTTTATCACAATTAGTATTAATAGATTTTCCAGTTATTTGCACAGAATATAAGTTTGTCTGATCAGCAATGACTTTGAATAGTGCTGCATTAAAAAATTAATTGAAGTATTGCCTTGGTGACCATTCCAAATGTGGAGTCTTCTCGAATTCTTCACCTTTGAAACTAGAATCAACATTGTGAGGTGATTGCTTGCCCCAACGATAATCATTTTTACTGCCTCTTCTTACATTTTGTTTGGTTATGACATTCTTTTGTACTATTTTTTGGTTTCCTTTAGATTTACTTTTATGACTATGAATACTCTCATTATCAAAAGCTTCTGTTTCACTTGTTGATTCATTCCTAGATTCACTTTCTGATTCAGTTGATTCATTTTCTGATTCAATAACAAAATCAACTTCATTGTTTGATTTGCAATAAACTGGTTTAACTATGTCAGTGTTTTCGTCATAACTTTCAGATTCACTTTCAGAAAATTCATTTAATTCTGGGTCAGGAAGATAAATAACATTGACAATTCCTTGTTCACCATTATCAGTTTTAAATCTTTTTTTATTATAAAAATTAATAACCCTTATACAAGTCATCTAAAATCATCAAATTTGATATTTATACTATAAAAATATAAATTCTATATGAATATATATTTATATATATAAATATAAATATATATATTTATACGTATATATATATATATATATATATATATATATATATTTATACGCATATATATATA